CAATGATCTTTTCTCCGCTTGTGTACAATGAAAAAAAGGAGGCTAAGATGTCATATTTGGCCTGGGATACATGTGGTCGCCAAATGTGACGATATTTTGTGTTGGATGGTTTAGTCGAGATTTTGTTTGTATGGGAACCCTTTTTAGATGGAAACTTTTGTGGGAAATGTGGTTTTATTTTGTAGTGGTAGTTTTTTGGTTATATGTTGAATAATGGCATATAGTTCCATGAAGAAAGTTGTGTAGTATTTAAAGCTAGATTTAGTTTGAGAAGATATATTGGAGTTATTAACCACTTGCCTGATTATTCCGAGTTATCTCGTGTTCGTATATATTGCAGTTAATTATTATCCTGAGAAAACTCGGGCGAAGCAGAATTTGTTAGTACAATTTCTTTTATCACGGTTTTACTCGGTCTTGAGGAAATGAAAGGAAATATTCAGCTTTGATTGGTAGTTTGCCAAATTTTGTTGGTTGCGCGGTTCTTTGAGGGACTGGTCGCGTGTTTCCCTATTGTGGATTAATAATGTATAAAGAAGGATGCATGCGTTGGAAAAAAATAAAATAATGCGATGATGGAAGATAGCGAAAGCAATGATTTTTCAGATAGTGATCATGAAAAGGTGGAGGAAAAAATAAAAAAAAATTAAAAAAAAAAAAAAAAAAAAATCAAATCCAACGAGACAGTGTACTCTGTGCTCCCGTGAAAGAGATTCCAGCGGTAAGCCAGTAAGAAAAGAGACCAGATACCAGTGTAGAACGTCAGGTATCACTCTATGTTGTCCCTTGTTTCAAAAACTATCATACAAAGATTAATATTTAACTTTTTTTCGTTTGCCCGAGATAACTCGGGATAGTAAACTAATTTTAAAAATAAATGCTTTTACACCTTCAAAAAATTAAAAATTCAACTTAAAACCTACATATTTTGATTTGTTTCGTTTTGTTGTATTTAATAATAAAATAAAAAAATGTGATGATTTTTTACAATTTTTTTCAAAAACATTTGTAAGGGAAGCGGTTAATGAAGCATTTGTTCATGGTTGTCTTCATGCTGACAGAAGTGTATTTTTTAAGAATGTGGTTTTCAACGAAGTTTGCAGTTTGGATTCTGGTTTTCCTGTAGTTGTTTGTTTGAAATTAATATTTTGCTTTTTTGGGAACTATTTTGAATGGTAAGCGAATTTGCTTTGGCTAATCTTTGGAATATGGTAACAGGTAGTTTGGCGACATTTTGGTAAGGCGATAAAGGCTACTAGCTAGGACTTTAGAAGTAATCTGAGAAGTACACAGTTCCAATCACACATTATTTTGTGGTGACTTTTATAATGGATAATTTAGAGGGAAAAGAAAATTAATGTAATTTCTTGCATATTTTATTTATTTTATACGTACAAATGTTCATCGTTTGAAAGGATATATGCAAGCTAAACGTATAAAAGCTTGCATAGTATACATACCTTTTAGTGATCAGGTAATTTCATATATGTCCTTTTTACCGACTTCAAAGATTCACAAAATTTTCCTGCATTTTTGTGCACATTTTTCTAATTTGTGAGAAAAATTATTTACATGTTTCATATATAAATTTGCTCTGTAAAAACAAATTTCTGTGCGCGTTCTGCTTTCCGGAAAATTCCGATCGTGATTTTAGCTAATAAGCACTTAGAAACAATTTCGGATCTAATCTTCATCATGATTAAGCACTTTTGTTCCATAAAAGTTATTCCATAAGTGTAATTCGGCTAGCAGATTGTTGAAAAAATTTTGAGTTTTTTAAAAAAAAAAAAAAAAAAAATGCGTAATGAAAACAAAATGGCGTAAAAAAAAATCTAGCAGGTTGTTGTAGCAGGGTTGATCGCCAAAAATTTGCCAAGTTACCATAATCCGAAGATTCACCTTTGCTTTTTATATGGTTTTAATTTTTGTAGAGAGTTATTTTAATTATTGCATTGCTTTAAAATTGTGATGTTACTTTGTGTGTAGAATTTGATGCCCCTTCGATTGGTGACAAATTTTGGCGATGTGTACATGGACAAATACAAGGCAGTGTGCAATGCAAAGTTTGTGCAGTTCTCTGATTTTTTTTTTTTTTTTTTTAAGTGAAAATAGATTGATGTGTACATGAACACAGAGTTTGTGCAAGTCTTTGATTTCTTATTTTGGTTTTGTGTAGTGGGCACCTTGAAATTCTGCCTTCCTGGCACCGATTTTGGGGTAAAAAAAATCTTCTCAAAAAACAAAGAGCACCTAATTGTAAACTTTTACCGTTATTTTTTTGTTTTTCAATTTTTAAACTTATTTGTTTTGAAATTTTTTGCAATTTATTGTTATTTTAGTTTAAATTTATAGTCAAACATTTTTGATGAGAAACTTCATGCTTATCTAAATGTTTTGCTTTTATTTCGCACTTTTAGTGTAAATTGAGTGCAAAAACCACGTTTTTTCAGACATTTTAGCCATTAAGTTTGAAATGTAAACAGAAAATTTAGATAAGTAAAATCGTGGAGTTAGAAATATTTCGCCAACCTGGTCTGTAGATGACAGCTGTTCCAAAAAGGAAAGGAAAATAGATTGCTATAAATTAATAAGTTTGCACTTAATGCAAACTGCAAAAAATGTGCCAAGATGAATTTTTTTTAATTTCACCAGAAATGACTCGCTATTACAAAATTTAATATCTAGGCATAATTGGAGTCATAGAATTGAAATATGGGGGGGAATGGTATGTTATTTCAGAAAAAGTCCAGTTTTGTGTTAAAATACCTATGTTAGAACAATAAAACTAAATTAAATGTGGCGCCACAAACAGCCTTTAGAGAGCCACGGCTGTCAGTGCCCTGATAATGTTAAAACAATGCTACATATAAATATAATATATATCCTAAATTGCTCTTTTGAGACATGGAAAATGCAAGATAAATTTCGACAATCGGTCCTGTAGAGCGGGAGATATAGAACTGTCCTTGTGCGTGTGTGTGCGCAAGGTCTACATACATGCATATATATGTAAGTTTTGTGTTAAGATTGTTTTGAAATTTCAAAGTTTTTTTCATTGTAGGATTTAAAATTTTTCTACAATGAAAGTTTTTATTCTTTTTAAATTGGAAGATTTTTTAATGATTTTACTTTGTATTTTTGCCATTTTGCTTCGCTTTCACTGCTGTTTGATAAGAGGTCCTTGCAAAATTTTGCGTAAAGATTATTTTGAAATTTCAAACATTTTTTCACTGTAGGATTTTAATTTTTTCTACATTTTAAGGATAAATTTTCATTTTTATTAAAGATTCTTTTTAGATTAGAAAAATCTTTTTAAATTGGAAGATATTTTTAATGTTTGTATTTTTGCCATTTTTCTTCGCTTTGAGGAGGACCAGAATTTTCGGGTAAATTGTTATGATTCAAAAATACAGTCAAAAGTCATTAATTCTGACACCCATAATCCGGAATGATCTATAATCCGGACCTCAAAGCTGCAAACTTTCTGCGCATGCGTCAGGTTTACAACTGCGAATATTCATTTGCGCGTGCACAAAATACGTTTACGAATGCGCGTTTAATGTATAACGGACGGTATAAGCTAAGCTAAAATTATCTAATTCAGTTAATGTTGCAGATTGCATTGTTCCTTAATCTTCGAATTGGATTTGGCTTATTATTTTTTGCAGACTGTTTAGCAATTTTATAAAAGTAAGCTTGAACTTTCGATTATGTCAAATAGAATTTCTGATATATATTTACTAATACGTAAAGGATCTACAAAGCGAAAGTATGTTTCGAAGTCCATTAAACAAAAAGTAGAATTGCTGCAAAAAATGGATGAAGGCATAATCTAAACTTTAATGTTTGTTTATCTAAACTTTGTTTATCTTTAACGCTGCGGCCGGCACGCAATGAATTGGAAGTTGATCTGTCAGCACTATCCTTATCTTCAGGGCAGATGTTTTTATTTTATTTGGCTTATAATTCCTTACTAAATGTAGTATTTCATCTCGATGTACTCCGTCTTTGATATGATTTAAATCAAATTCCTCATCATTGTAATTCGCTTCCGATAGAAGAAAGTGACACAGAGGTTATTGAAAACGAAAAAATGTTGATTGACAAATTAGTTGGTATTCTCGACACAGCAATTATAGGACTTGAACAGCGGAACTTTGTAACTGAACAAGAAATTATGTCTGTTTATAGAATTAAAGAGAATGTATTATCACATAAAAAACAAAGCAACTTAAACAACTTACATTGAAAGAAATGTTTAATAAAGTAAACAAATAAATATTAAGCTTTTTTTTTTTTTGTAAATTTTGATACCCTTTAGATCATAATTGTTCTTTATTTCATAAATTACGGTTTCATATTTTTAATTTTATAATTTCTGCATGCCATCGTACCAGATTTAAACTGATGATCTATAATCCGGAATCGCCGAAGTCCCGACGAGTCTGGATTAACGACTTTTGACTGTATATTGAAATGATTCAACTGCTGATTCTTGATTCGTAAAAGCAAGGATTTTGTTCTGGAAGGAGAACTGTAATTTAAATTCGACATATCTTATCCTTACAACATTATGCCGGAGTTGATTGGATTCCTCTTCTTTCTTATTCTTTTTTGTTTTTTCTTGTGATGGTTTATTTTAATTTTTACGTTTTAAAATATCCTTATTCTAGATTTATAGATTTTATGAAGTTCATTTTAATTTCAATTTTTAGTCTTTGTAAAAAATTGGTTCTAAATTTCTTTCTTTATATATTTACTGATTAATTTTCAGCAGCTAATGCATGAAAATTCTTGGAAGGATTTTAAATTTTCCTTTTAAAAAATTTAAAAATTGTATTTTTATAGATTTCTATAAAAGTACAATTTTTAAATATATAAATTTCTGAATCCAGTTCCTTTAACGGAAAAGTACCTTATTTTCTTATTATGTTCTGTTTCTAATTATTTTTGTTTTAAAAAAGATTAAGCAGTGATTTTTGTTTTATTTCTTTTTCTAGTTTTAGGCATTCAAAACCATTTTTTGTTTCATTTGGTAAGTCACATATTTTAAGTTTTGTAAAAAAAAATTAAATTCAGTCTTTAGTCATAAAATATAAATATGGCACAAATTAAATACTTAAGTAATATTCCACTATTAATTCAGAATATTTATTCCTTCTCCCCAAAGAGTAAGCATAGTTGAAAAAAATTACTTTTGTTGTCTTTATAATATTTTCTTTATGCAAATATTTTTACATATATATAACATATCATATCACATAATATATAATACAAGGTTGTTCAGTAAGTTCACGGAGTGCCATCTATTCGTCAATATTATACCTAAAACTTCGATGCCATTTTCATATTTGTTCTTTCTTAGGAACACATCAAAAGTTTCATTTCAATCTGTTAATTTATTCATTATTTAACCACCCTTTATATCTAACGTGTTGTGGCTTTTTTCAGGTATGGATAAAATTGAGCAACGTGCGGTTATCAAATTCTTTGTAAAGAAAGGTTTAAAGGCAATGGAAATTCATACCGAAATGGTGAATGTGTTGGGTGAATCCTCTCCTTCAAAAACAATGGTTTGCAAGTAGGCTAGTTTATTCAAAAGTGGTCATACCAGCCTTGAAGACGATCCGCGAGAGGGACGTCCAAAAACTGCATCAACACCGGAACTCATCGAAAAATACAAGATATGGTATTGGAAGACCATTGATTGACAGAAAGAGATTTAACAGAGGCTTTAGGCATTTCAATGGGCACAGTGAGCAATATTTTGAGTGTTAATTTGTGTTTCAAAAAACTCTGTGCAAAATGGGTGCCGCGTTCTCTAACGATGGAGCAAAAACACATTCGGATGCGACTTTGCCAGCAACATTTGGAGCATTTTAAGAAGAATAAAAGCGACTTTATCCATCGATTCATCCCAATGAATGAGACTTGGGTCTACCATCATGATCCTGAATCAAAACAGGTGGCTAAGGAGTGGTGTGAACCCGGCTCTTCAGCGCCAAAGCGAGTTTGTGTGCAAAAATCAGCCAAGAAGGTGTTAGCATCAGTTTTTTGGGATGCGAAAGGAATTTTATTTATACATTACCTTCAGACTGGCAAAACGATTAATTTGGATTATTATTGTAACCTTTTGAATCAATTAGATGAAAAAATTCGTGAAAGAAGACCCGGATTACAGAAGAAAAAATTCATTTTCCACCAAAATAATGCACCTGTGCACACAGCTCAAAAAAGCATTGCTAAAATAACTGAATTGAAGTACGAATTGTTGCAACATCCAGCCTATTCGCCAGATTTAGCTCCCTTCGATTCTGGCTCTTCCCACATCTCAAACAATATCTCCGTGGAAAACAATTTTCTTTAAACGAAGAGGTAATAGCTGCAATGGAGGGATATTTTACAGAGCTGCCGAAAAACCAATATAGTCAAGGGATCCATAAATTAGAAGACCTTCAGAAAAAGTGTATTGAAGTTGAGGGAAACTACGTTGAAAAAAAAAAAAAAGTCATTTTTACAAATAAAAATTGGTTTTTTCATTTCCGTTCCGCGAACTTATTGAACAACCTGAACTAGGCAAACTCAATTTTAGAATTATGCTGATTCTAAATTAAAAGGCTGTACTTAAAAGACATTTTCGCATGGATTTTTTTAAAATGCATTTATTTATTTATTTATTAGATTTTATTTGTTTATTATTCATTTAAAACATATGTTGTAAAATTCTCTCTAACTGAAACCTCTTTCAAGTACTTTTTCTTAATAACTAAGGAAGGACTTGGGGAAGGGATATAGTGACTGAGAAAACCAATCAGAAGAACTGGTAGGGTGAGTAAAAATGGAAGTACAGGTGAGGAGCTTGGTGTGTGTGCAAGAAGATAGCTTAAAAAAAAAAAAAAAAAAAAAAGTATTCATGTACATTGTGTACAGGAAGTATAAAAGTACAGGTGAGGAGCTTGGTGTGTGTGCAAGAGGATAGCTAAAAAAAAAAAATATTCATGTACACTGTGTACAGGAAGTATAAAATAGTGTTTTCTTATGTGCAGTGTTAATAAAGATGTACATACAAATAACAAAGTGGTATTTGGAAGTTCCTAGTATGATAAATATCCAACTAAGAAAATCAAGACCAGGGGGACAAGTCATAATGTCTCAGCCATCTGGATTGAGTCAGGATGTAATAGTAAAGAATTGATGGGGAAAAATAACTACCAGAAATAACAAGTGAATATATTAGTAAAGTTTGGCACCAAAAGAATGCTGTCAGTTGGTGTGGTCATGAAACGTATGAAGATACAATACAAATTGAAAGCACAAGGTGCCAGAAATACAAATTGAAAGCATAAAGTGCTGAAAGCAAAGCACGGAAAAAAAAGCTGCTGAGAAGTGGTAAGTTCATGAGTGCTGCAGAATTATGTAAATTGTTAAATTCAGCAATGTGGTGAACAAGACAGGAATAATCATTAAATGTTGAGGTTCATCAACAGTGACAGAGAGGTATTTCCTGGGTGACTTCAAATTAAAAAGTGATTTCAGTTTTTCAACAGGAGTCGAATAGAGAGAGGAAAGACTTGTAGGAAGAAGTGTAGTGACTAGGTAAACTGGCCAGGATAACTGGTGGTGCAAGCAAACATGAAGGACAGGTGAGAGCATGACTACTGAGGAGATTCGTATGTATGTGAGAGGATGGCTGAGAAAAAAAATATATTGTTGTGCTCTGAAATATAAGAAGTGTAATATAGTGCTTTATTTTCTGTACTGCTAATAAAGCTGTACATTTGAATAACAAAGTGGTATTTGAAAGTTCCTAGTACAATGAATATCCATCTAAAATAACTGAGACTTGGGGTATGAGTCACATAATGCCAAATACAACTTGGCCTCGTTTTAAAATGCTACGTTTTCATACCTTTCTTGCATCTGTTGTTCTCTCTTAGCATAATGTAACAAATATTGAACTATTTAAATTAGCAGGAATAAATTTATACACTTTTTTTACTTTTCTATTGCTTTTTAAAAGGATTGATTTAAGGCATTTTTACAGTTAAAAATCTTTAAAAATACTAATTTTCTTTAGCTAGCATTTTATATATAAGAATGAAACAAATTATGAATGCTAAATTCTACAGCCCATTTGTGGATAGGAACCTAGATAGTGGTTCAACCTGGATTCAAACTTTGGCAAACATGTTAGCTGTACGGGCCTTTTTTGTGTGATTTTTTCCATGTGTAGTATAATTATTAATCAGGGTTTATTTCTTTTATGAGAGCATTTTCTTAGGTAGATGGGCCTTGTGTACTTTGCCTTTATCTAAGTTTTGCTTTAGTGAAATATTTCAGTCTTAAGTTCAAAAAGAGCTAGCACCTTAAAATTTGTTATGTGTTTAAAAAAATCACTTTTTTTATTAAAAAGAATTAATGGAATCAGGATTAATATTTGGTACTTTCTGATTATCCACCAATCCTGAAGAGAATCACCAGGTCGTGCACTATGTTGACAAAAGAGGCAAATCATAATGTGACAAAAATTTATTTATATGGCAACCCAGGTTGCAACCAATGCATATTACATGAGCGCAGATTTCAGATTTTGAAATTCAGTGGTCATTTTTTAAGTTTAAATAAATTTCCAAGTAAAAATGTACCTAAGAGTAGGGATGTCTTTGTAAACTTACACAAAATATCTAGTTACTTTAGGTTGTGAACCATGCACATACTAAGGCTTTCAAGTGTTACTCATAAGTATAATGACTGACCAAATGACATAATTAAATATTTTCAAAACATATCATTATTCAAAAAATGTACTGCAGTGTGCATCTTTATTAGCATTATGGACAGAAATTTATATTCTCTTCAAAAAAGATGTTAGATTGAACTACTATGATGATGTTAGGGAATACTAAAAGCTAAATCTGGATGATAATGAGGTGTGACAATTCCTATATTTGATTTACATTATTCCCTGTATTATCTGACAAAACATGGTCAAAACATGAGAGCATAAGATAGACTGACAAGAAAACTTGACAATAATTTTGTATGCAACATTACTTCCTTACTCATCATTCTCACAGCCATTGTATATGGTTTGGTTTAATTATGAAAAAACATTCAAGGGTTATCTGCCTAAGGGGGAATACCTTTGTGGAGGACTTTCTAAGGAAAACTGGCTTGTATACATATTACATGTGGAGAAAACCATGAAAATTCCCATGCAACCAGCCTGTTCACTATGATTCAAATCCCAGATCTAACTACCAGTGTTCAGTAACTTTACTGCTTGGTCGTTGCTGGATCGCATCATACTCATATATGAGTGGCAATATTAAATTTTACTATATTATGAAAAGTGGTAGTCTATGAAAATTGTAACAGAAGCCTCACATTTTTCTTATAAAAACAAAATATGAAAGTCTGATTAAATTTTTTAATTTTTACAAAAACAAAAAGTACAGATATTTAAAAAATATTTTAAAATTAAATATTAAAAAAATTATAGTATATTGCAAAAAATTGTAATTATTCTTTTATAATAGTTTCATAAAAGACTGATTTAATTCAGAAATTTCAATTATAATGTTTCCATTTCAAGAAAAATTAATTTAATTAACCTTTTATTTTGAAAGTAAAATACCAGAAAAAAAAATCTGATTAAACTCAGTTGCACATAATAGTTTAGTTTTACATTTTTAAAATTTGTAGTAGATATGAAGATTTAAAGAACTAATTATTATGGAATTGGAGTTTTATATGTTTCTAAATGAACTGAAGTTGATTTTACATAAGTATAAAGAAGAGCTAATTTCAGTGGGCATTAAAAATTCCTTTTAAGTTTTTAATATAAATCACCAAATGTCACATTCTTTTGCTAAAATGCAATATTGCAGAACTGATAATAATTGGGTATGCTGTTATTAGTATCAGATTCAGAAATGTATGTAAGTATGTATGCATGATTTCTGAATCCGGTCCTGCTAATAGTAGAGTACCAATAACAGCTATATATGATTTAATTTTCAAAAGTATACATGAGGACTGTAAGTTATAATGTTTAAAGAAAGTTTTTTAGCATGCACAGGCCCAAAAAATCATAAAAAATGTATAAAACGTAAAAATTCTTTGAATATCTGTATTTATCATTTTATTCTTGTTTTTTTCTACTGATGACATAGTAAAAGCAAGAATGAAACTTCACATAATTATAAAGATTGAATTATATAATTATGTGAACTTATTACTATTATTGAATTAAACTTCACATAGATTGAAATAATGTAATACAATGTTTCCCAAACTTTTCTCTTTCAGATTTTAAGAAACAGTTGAGTAAATTTCTGTTTTTAGTTATAATAAAAACATAGATATATTAGATAAACATTAAAATAAATAGATATTTATTCCACTTTTATATCATAAATATAAAAGAAACATTTTTTGGTTTTTAATGTTAGAAACAATAACACATAAAACTAATTAAATGAAACAAATATGAAAAACAAAACATTCTTAGTTTTCAATGACTTCAGTATCTTTGGGTCTTCGTAAAGGTTTTTTTTAGAAAAGTGATCCTGAAATAACGAGTGAAATTTGACTTTTCTGGTATAGCTTTATCATAATGGAATATTGTATTCATTTCTTAAAACAATAGTTACGACCATTAGAAATGTTACACTTATTACTTAGTAAAAATTTTACATTTACTTACAAACAGGGCCAAATTAACCATTAAGCAATATAAGTACATAATTAAGACATCAACGCTTTGACTCTAAGGAAACCAAGATACAAATTTATTTACAAGGTGACCTTACAGAACAACTTGAGGTCAAGAATGGAATGAGACGGAGAGATGCATTGGCATTCTTCCAGTTAAATATTACACTCAAAAAAAGATTCTTGGATCAATACTGGAGAAAATATTTTTAATAAGATTATTCAATGTAGATGATATTTGCATTGTTGTCATTACTGTTCCTGTTCTTAAACAGGCATTCATGGCATTGAGAAAGGTGCAAAAAGATTTAACTTTTCTGTTAACAAGAATAAAACTATAGGTGTCCCACGAAGACCCCTCCTCCCCATTTTTAAAATTAATTAACTTGAAAACAAAGATCAATAGAAAAATGAAACAAAAGTTATGCTTATTGGGACAGCTATCTGATACAGAAGTTTCACATTTAGTTACAAAAGTTGCCAACAAGTGGCACTATAGTCACATTACGTTTTAGAAAAAGATAACAAACATGGCCTCTGCAAGCTATCGTTGCAATCACATCACAATCTTTTCAAAGTATCCACCTTTCATAGTACATAGGTGGCGCAAGCAAAGAAAGAAATTTTCACACACCTCCCATATTGTGTCAATAGAAATGGATGCACATGCCTCACAAATTGACTCTTCAAGCTCATCAAGTTTTGCAGGCTTCTTCTGGAAGACAGTGTCTTTCAAGGTGCCCCACAAAAATTAGTCACAAGAAGTAAGATTGGGTTAGTATGGAGGCCAAGCCATACCTGTTCTAGTAAATTTGGAATAGCCCAAAGCAATAACTATATCCCAAAATTTTCCTCAAGGTACTGAAACACCTGTTTGATGTGGAGTGGTTGGATCCCATTTTGCATGAACTACAAAGTGCCTGTTCTATCTTCCAGTGCTAATAGTGTGGCGACAAATTGTTCCAATATTTCAACATAGTGGTCAGAAGTGATCGTTTCTCGCAAGAAGAAGGGGCCATTAATATTTTTGCTGGATACTGCAGCCTAAACAGTAACTTTTGGGTAATGTAGTGGTTTTACTTCACACAAATGAGGGTTTTCAGTACCTAAACATCACCAATTTTGTTTGTTCATGACAATATTCAAGTGAAAATGTGCTTCATCTGCAAACCATATTTGAATCTGTCATCATCAATCATTTGTGAGCATTTTGTTCGCGAAGCCCTTTCTCTATAGCACAGCTCAAACAGGAATGGTTTGGTGACATTGGATCTTGAACTGAAATGTTTAACCTGTTTCTCAGTACTCTGTGTATGCTGGAATCGTGATAAGGCGGTTTCTACTGCAAGTCCTCAGATAGAGTTCCTCGGATTTTGCTGAATAAGTGTAGAAACTGTAGCAGCATTTTCAGGAGTAATTACATGCAGAGCACCAGTGTTGCACAGAACACATTTGGGGAAATGCTTATCTAGTATCACATTCCAGATTTTGAAAAGAAAAAAAAAAAAAAAAAAAGAGTTAATTAGTTTATTATGATAAGCCCTAATATGTCTGCATGTGCTACATTTTACCAGCCTCAGCCTTAACATTCAAGGTTTTTTTTTTTTTTTTTTTTTTTTTTTTTTTTGTGAATAAAGTAATAGGCTTGATATATGACATTATATTATATTCCCCAAATTTATACATTTTTGTATCATAAAGCTTTCATTGAACATAGACATTCTGAAAACATACTGTAAATCAATTTGCTCGTAAGAAGATGATTTTCAGACCATCAGAGATCACGATAATCAGATTTTTCATCATAGATTTCATAAAACGAACTCTAAATGCTTCTTTTCATCTTTTGCAAAAGGGAAAATTTTTGTAATATTATTCTGTTATGAAAAATAATTGCTGACATACGTCTTTTTCAAAAGAATCGCAAAGTAAACCTTCATAAAATGGGAGTTAATTATGCAACTAAAGAGTCTTCATACCTTTTTTTGTTGTTTTGAATTGCTGTTAAGGAGGGAAAATTATGAATTAAAAGTTTATTTTGATATTGGGAATATTCTGAGACTCATTTTATGCTAGATATATACATACTATATGCAGATATACAGTTACTATATATGTAACTGCATATTGGAAAGCTTGTGAAATAGTTAGACAAAAGCCTTTTCAGCAGTTTCTCAATTTTGTAAGGTAACAGCTTACCCATGCCACCAGAATTTCAGTGAATGCATGATAGATTACAAATGCATTTAGCAACATAATTGTTAACTGTTGTCAAATAAATATTTTTAAAAAGGATGGAGGAGAAACAGTTGACAAAACTTTAACAGCAAAAAGAAACTTATCTGTAAAATTCTAAATTTTAATTTCTTTTACTTAATTAGATATCTGGCACTTTATATATAATAGAATAAATTTATATTCTTTCATATTATTATTCTGTTTAGTGCATATTGGATATTATCTTATATTTTAAAGCAAAATAAAAATTTTGCTTTAAAACAGGCAACTATTATAATATTAACTATTATAATATCAAATAATCTATGTATAAATGGTAGATAGAGTGATTAATCAACATTTTCTTGCTTTCCAGAAACACCGTCATGAAACCGCATCGTAAGTATTTTCTTTGCTACATACATAAAACTTTTAATATCCAGATGGAGACAATTTTCTTAGTATAAAATTACATTTGTTAAGATCTCATATTTTTATTCTGCTTTTCATTAGTAACAGTATTATTATTACATGTAGAAGTAAATTTCATTGTTCTGTAAAACTGAAAATTTAATTTTTCAAAAATAGATCATTTTAAATAAAAATGAGTAAAGATTTACTTAAAACTTTATAAACAAAGTATTCTTTTCTTTAAAAAATACAGGGAGGCTGTTCCCAACTTGGGCAATAGTTCTACTAGTTCTTGGATCATCATCGTTTTTGGGTCTAGCAATCTTTCTGTATTGCTGCTGGAAAAGTAGACGTATGCAGACTTGCTTTTCACCTACAGCTGTATGAATGTGCACAGGAGTTTGCACTGTTTTGCATATCATTTTTAAACTTTAGATAAAAAGTTTGTAACAAGAAATGAGCTGTGCATAATATACAAATGTTTAATATGACATTATGCATTCGTATATTTTGGAGTAATGCCAAATATACATATATACTGTATTTGATGTAAATTATATATTTCATTAATTCATAGTCTGAGTGATAAAATGTTTAGCAAACATTGTCTACATGCTGATCATCTAGGTTTTGAATTAATATTAAATACAGATATTTGAACTTGTAACATCATAACAGATAGGAAGCAAATAAAAGCATTGACCTTTTTAGGTTTTCCACAAAAACTGATGTTAGGGAAATAAAAGTGCAAGATCCCTGGGTTTCATGACCTGAATAGGCTCATATCCTAGCAAATCAGCTGGTTGCATGGGCATTTTCATGGTTTTCCCCACGTGTATATACAAAACAATTCTCCTTAGAAAAGTCTGTCATAAAGGCTTCACATGCTTCACTTAGGCAAATAGCCTTCACATGCTTTGCTGTAATCAAACAAACCATCCATAACCTTAAGTGCTTTCAATCAAAATGGAGTTTAGGCAAAAAAATCCTTGTGTGTATAATCACAATTTATTAATAATCTATTTTATTAATTCATTAAGCCCTTTCAGTCAAAATTAAGATGGAGTTTAGGCAGACAACCTTTGTGTGTTTGCCATAATTTAATAATCCATTTGATTAATTCGTTACTGTAGTAATTGTTTCCTTCATGCATAAATGGAAATAACTAATAGGATGTGAGAGATAATTCTCTTGAGGAAGGATGTATTTCATACTCGGCAGATATGATTATAAGAAAAATTATTGACTTTCAATAATTAGTTTTAATTACATAAAAGTTTGTATTTCCTTGTTAAAGCAGTCATTGTATAAGTATTTAGTGACACTTAAAATTTGTATATTAGAGACTGGTTATTTAAGTTTGCCAGTTTTGGCAACTAAATGCAGTAGCTGTTTTAACGAGGAAGTACTAATGGTTTTATCATTTCAAAATGGTCTAATATTTTTAGCTTAAGTTAGGTTATTTATTGCAACAAAGCACTGTATGGCTATCTACATTTATGGAGAATTTTCTAAGAGAAACTATCTTTTAGAGTGAATTATTAATAAATTCAATTCCACCAGACTAGCAAAACTTTCGAGTTATCATATCCTCAGTTTATTATAACCGATTGGGTCAGTACATCAAAAATGTTTAACTTAAACGTATAACCAAGTTATTGTGAATATTGCATTATGATTGAGGAAAATCATAAAAATTGCAACCAACCTTTTCCCTTCTCAGAAATTGAACCTTTGAATTACCTGTATTCAATAGTCCCATTCATTATGCCATAGATTTGCCACTATATATTTTCAAATAGCCTTTCTGAATTCAGAGTTTTTTAAAAAAATTTAAATCATTGACAAAAATTTATAATAAATAAAGCATCATAAAATATACAAATTTTGCTTCTGTAAGAAAAAAAATTGAGTATTTTTGTATAGTTTTTATAAAGCAAAATAATTCATATCTTGATTAATAATTTTTTTAATGTCTTTACAGTCTAAAAAATTTTTATCTTGATATTTTAAAGATGTTATCACATGATTTCTAGCAGAATATCAAATCTCTTTTATTTTGCATACTCTGCTATCTATTGTATACACGTTCAGAAGAAACAGAGTTTAAATTTGATTTTAAAAAATTAGGATAAGTATTGCATCAAAACAACATATGCATGCATGTGCATGTGTTTCTTAGACAGGCGCAAGATGTGTTATTTCATGTAATTTATATATTATCTCTTTGTACGTAGATATTTTCCATTTTCAAGCCATTTTGGTATGTTATAATTTTCAAACATATGACACTGCTATAAAATTGTTGATCGTTAACTAAATGTCTCCAACATTTTCTTTCCTGTTGTGTGTGTCTATATATATGTATATACATACATTTGCCCTTTTTCTCTGTACATAGGAAAAAAAAAAAAAAATCTTGTGGGGCTTGCTGTTTCTAGTATCCCACTTTAGTAATAATACTGAAATGACAATTTTAAAAAGCATAGTATCTTTCTAGTTGACAGCATTTAAAATGTTTGATATATTATTATTAAATTGGAAAAATGTGATTTTTCCTTTTAGTTCTGTGAATTAAAAATGTACTTGTATAAAGATATTTATATACAGTAAAAGTCTTTAATCCAGATTCGTCAGGACTTCAGCAATTCCGGATTATCGGTTTTTCCGGATTATAGATCATCAATTTAAATCTGGTAAGATGGCATGCAAAAATTATAAAATTAAAAATATGAAACCGTAATTTATGAAATAAAGAGCAATTAAGATCTAAAGAGTATCAAAATGTACCAAAAAAAGTTTAATATTTATTTGTTTACTTTATTAAACATTTCTTTCAACGCACGCATGCATAAAGCATACATAACACATAGTTGAAATTAGAAAATTGCAACCAGAAAACTATTTGATGTGTATTCATGATATTTATAATGACGAAGAATTTGATTAATTTAAATTCTATCAAAGACGGAGTACATCAAGATGAAATACTACATTTAGTAAGGAATTATAAGCCGAATTAAATAAAAACATCTGCCCTGAAGGTAAGGTGCTGACAGATCAACTTCCAGTTCATTGCGCGCCGTGACGTCCCCCTCTCCCGCAGAGCAACGTGAATAAACAGATTTCGGAATGGTTAGAGAAACAAAGGATATGCCTTTATCCATTTTTTGCACCAATTCCACTTTTTGTTTGATGGACAGCGAAACATGCTTTCGCTTTGTAGATCCTTTGGCAGCTCCTGAATCGGAAATTCTTTTTGACATAATCGAAAGTTCAAACTTACTTTTATAAAACTGCTCTAACAGTCCACAAAAAATAATAAGCCGGATAAGGAGATTAAGGATCAATGCAATCTGCAACATTAACTGGAATAGATAATTAGATAATTTTAACTTAGCTTACACCGTCCATTATACATTAAACACGCATGTGTAAAAGTATTATGTGCATGCGTAAATGCATTATGCGTTTACGCTTGCGCAGAAAGTTTGTAGCTTTGAGGTCCAGATTAAAGACTTTTGACTGTATACTTCAAAGAATCATTGTGTGAAGTTTTATATTTCTATTACTGATAGTATAGCTAAACAAGTATTTATCTTTATAGTTTCATGGTATACGTAATAAAAAGTATTACTTTAGACAAAAGTCCATGGAAATGTATTATTTTTATTTAAATTTAAAAAAGTACATTTAAAAAAATTTGTGATTTCAGAAATTATTATCATTATTAAATGTGATAATATTCAAATAATAAAAATAGCTGGTTTCATTTGAAGATGAAAAAAAAAATATTCGTTAATTTAACAATTTTTAAGCAATTATTACTGATCTTTTATACAAAATGATTTAGAAGTTATATAACTCATTAACAAACTAAATCATAACAAATTTTAAGTTTATTTAGTCACAGCACTAATGCTGAAGCATTAGTGCTAATTTATTTTATTTAAGCATTTGAGAGCAGTTTATGGCCTTAGAGATAAATGTTTAGAATCAACAAATCATATGAACTAGGTAGTCACAATAAGCAATGTGCTGTGGAAAGAATTTATACAAGACACATATTATCATTTGCTTCATATATTCTGCACTGCCCTGCTGTAATCTGCAGTTGCATCCATCAGCATCTAACATTATGATCTTAATGAATGACATTATAATTTCAATATCAATTATTAATAAAATGGTCTTTCTTAAAAAATATTTAAAGAATGTCTTAGGTAACTTAGTTTAGGATACAAGTGTAACAGCTGTATGCCTGAATCCTTAGTTATCCATGTAGTTTTGAAGAGGAAGGAAAGAAAGATAAATAATGTGAAATTTTTGGAGTACAACTTTCTAGAAAATGATTACAATTCACCGTGGCATTAACAGAATGATTAAGATTACTTTTCACAATGAAAGCGGTATTACCTTAAATTAAATGCTTATTTGCGTAGTCATGAGTCATCGATTAATGGTGGCAAATATCAGGCAGATCATATGATCAGTTCATCTGAACATTATTTCATATTATACAATCAATATTCACTTTAACCCAGTTTCAGTTTGTGAATTGCATAACTTTTGGATTTTCTATTATGTATGATTTTTTATGACTATTTGCTTTGTAATGCATAACAAACTCCTCTAAATTAGCTCAAAGCACTTCTGTTTAAGTAAATGGTATAATGCGACTTTTAATCAATGCACATGAATTTAAGTTTGATGATATAAAATAGCCTATCCGAAAATAAAATAACGAAAGATCAAATAACTGTACTTTCATAAGTGTTGCCAAAATATAAATATAAGAACTTAAAAAAAAAAAAAAAAAATTTAAATATTGGTTTTAATCAATATAATTTGTTATCTATGTGGTTGCTATTGCAAATTATGAAATTTCATATATATATATATGTGTGTGTGTGCATGTGTGAGAGTGTATCATAGATATGTCTTGAAAAGTTACACAGTTATATTTGAAGTTTCAGAAAGCGTATGTACCATTTGATCATAGTTTGAAATACCATGGTACCTCAGTATACATCCTGTTTAAGTGTAATATTTTAGATAAGGTAATTAGTAAGATATTTGTTTGATATATTACTCGAGTTTGATGAATCATGACTGAGCACACTACATTTGTTTACCTCTTCCAAAAAATGATGCAACTACCCATGAGTATCATTACACCTGTTGCTACTATTCTGCAAACAACTCGTGCTATAACTGATTTTTATATGTGTTTTTTTGAGTCAATTTTTTTGTAAACTCGTTAAAAATGAGTTTTAGAAAAGTTGATGAGAAGAGTTAAGCAATGAAGAAAATTATTAGGAGGTGAAAAAAGAGATTGTTAAAAATTGTGCATATGTTAAGAAAATGGCAGGCATATCCAGGATTTGGCTATTGCATACCCATATGCCAAGTAAGATGGTGTCTACAATTGTGAAAAACAAAGACACTATTAAATCAGCTAACACAGCAAAGGGGATCAAACCCATTTTTAAACAAATAAAGAGATATTAGAGAATTTTGAAAAATTGCTTTTGACCTGGCTATCAGAAAAACATGTACAAAATCATGCACAGTGTTTTATTTATGTAGAGTATATATTTCACCCACTACATTTGTACTTTAGTAGTAACAGTGTAATAATAGTAGTAGTGGGTTTTTTTTTTTTTTTTTCTTTCTTTTTTTTTTTTTTTTTTTAAATAAGAAGAGATAAATTATTTCCCTTTATTTCTCATTGGAAAAGTTTGTCTAGTTTGGCATTCCAAGGATCTAGAACAGATTAATGATGCATACTGAAGTATCAGTGTGTAACATTCTATATATCATAAACTGTAAAAAAAAAATCTAAAATTTGACTTCAAGACTATAATTTACAACACTGACATAAAAAAATTATACATTGTGTATTATTTTTAATATAAAAATGCAACAATTATAATAGCTATTAATTAACCATTACTAAAAATTTGAGTTGATGCCAAAGTAATTTTGGTTGGTTATATTCTCCCCCTCCCAATTTGGTTCTGAGATTGTTCTCTCTAGAGCAGTTTTATCTGTTTCATTCAATTCTTAGTAAAATGTAACAGATGTTTGACTTCTTGGATAATAGTAAATATAAATAATACATCTTTTATAAATGTCATCCACTTCCTTCAAGTGATTTTCTTATCCTCGTTTTTACCGTTTGTTTATGCTTTCCCATGTTTCACTCCCACAGTTCATTTTTTTAGTGATATATAATTTTATAATATAGAAATTAGAACATCTCCAATTGTTCAGTAGTATTCCACTGTTCTGGGAAAAAGCAGATAGTTTACATTTCTTTACGTTAAGAATATGTGAGTGTGCGAAAGCATACACAGTATTTTACGTCATAAGACTCTCTGCCTATGGAGAAGGATGCTTTTATGGAAGCAGGAGAATTTTCTAGGTAGACCTGGCACGTTGTACGTGAGGAAAATTGTAAAAACTTATCAGTTGCCAGCTTATCATTCAGCTACTGGGGATTCAATATGCATTATGAGAATAACGAATATAAATGTTGAAGTAAATAGAACAAGACAGAACATATGATTAAAAGATGACAAATACAGCAACAACTGTAATGAAATATTTCTTTCAATATCTTCCAATGAGATCAGAACATAAAAATTACAAAACTTTTATATGCTTGTACATGTTTGCTGGGTCGCCATAATTTTGGAATCCAGTAATAAAATCCTTGCATTTTACCATTGAGTAAATGCCAAAGACTTAATTAAGAAACCATAAAATATTATAGGGGAATATTAAAAATTTAGCAAATGGAGCAAGATTCTATACATGATTACAGCAGTCAGGCAAACAGCTATTGGCAGGTTATCACTAGAGGAGACTTAAGTATCAGTTAATATGTAAGTAATAGAAATACTTTGGCAAAAAGCTATTTAATCACTTGCGCTAAAAAGATGTGCCACACACGTCGAGATGCTTTTGTCTCAAACCACGAGCTGCGTGAACACCACTTCGATAGGCATTTATCGCAAAAATGAAAATAACGTGGTGCATGTCGCCTAACAACGAGATTGTTTATTTCTCAAGTTACAGCTCTGGATTGCACTCGCAGATGCGGAGTGGCGTAAATGAGACACTTACTGCTTGTTATATTGTAGCGCATGGCACTGCAACCGTGAAGTTTAGTCATAGCATGAGTGGTTAACAAACATAATTTCTTGTTTCAAAGTAAACTACATAAATTTTTAAAATCATCTTACATTTGCTGTGTATCAACAATAAGACAATGTTTTATATATTATATTTCCTCATAAAATATTTTTATAGCAGTTGAAGTAAGCAAAGTTCTTCCAGTTTTTAAAAATATATGAATCTCAACCATAAAAATGCACTTTATTATATACCCATGCATATATAGAAATATTTGTACAAAGAATTCTCTTTTAATGAAAATTTACAATGCAAATATGTGAACATGTATTTTACAAATGTTGTTTTATAGAGTTTATCATAATTATTGTTGTATTTGATGTAATTTCTAAAATTCTGTAGAATGTCATTTGAAGTTTTTCACTTTGATATTGCTCAGTCTCTTGCAACCCTGCGGCATTGTTCCCGTCAATACTTTTATTGATTCACTTTACATTCCTGCAATCTTCTCATTCTTGAGCATCATCATAAAACAAATCACAATTCTAAAATTTAAAAGTTGAATTAATATCATTTGCTGAAGTAAAACATGCCATTAAATTTAATAAATTTAATTTATTTTCAATGAAATTGTTTATGCATTTATGTTTTAGTTTGACCTAAAGAAAACTCTGTTGTATCTAGCATGCACCTTCTGATATACTGAAAGTATATCATTTGTAATGAAATAAAATTTTTTGAACAGTTGTAAAAAGTGAAAAATATTTTACATCAGAACATTCATATTTAAGTAATATTCATATTTAAGCACATATTTAAGTATATTTTAAGTACACACATATTTAAGTATATTTAACATTTAACTAAGAAAGATGTTTAATAATATGTTTTGGGAGATAATATGCTCAGTCAAGAGCAAATATTACTCCACACAAGTACTGTGATTTATACTTAGTAAGCAAATTGCAGTACACATTTAAAATTTTTTTTATGCTAATCATCTGATGAAGAAAGAAATCCACAACCTAGGGATGTTGAATAGTGATACCATTTAGTTTTGCGATGAATATGGAAAAATTTACAGAAATCTACTTATCTAGTTCAAGGAATCTTTCATTAATTTTAGCAGAATAAAATTTTAAAGAATACAATCAAGTTCTCATTAACTGGATTACAGATTAACTGAACCTTGTCTATAATAATATTTTTTTTGTTTGTTTATTGTAGAACAAGGGGAAAATTACTGTCGCAAACTATCACAATAGCAAAATTTCTATAGAAGATAAAAGAAGAAAACTCATGAGTTAAAAGTAGTGATAGTAGATGATATCGCAGTATTTAAGAATTGCTTTTATCCATAACAGCACTTAATGTAATTATACATAATCTGGAATATATTAATGTTGTTCCAGTTAAAAAAAAAATAATAAATAAATTGCTAAATCATGAAAGTGAAGTTTACAGCCATTTATTTTCTATTGACTCCTATCAAAATAAAAGTATAATATAAACAAACAAACAAACAAACAAAAAAAAAAAAAAAAAAAAAAAAAAAACTTTGCTTTCTGTTTTGAATCCTGATTTTTCACAACACTGAAAAATATGAATCAATTTTTAACAGTATTTCTTCTTAATTATAATATGGGTTATGCATCTTTCATGTTTCCTGCCTTTTTTATTACTGCCAGAATACTAGTGATTTTGGGTAACTTTGGACCACAAGTTTACTGTATTTCAGAAATCAGCAGTGAATGTCAACTGAAGATTTATAAGTTCCTGTCAAAATAAATTTTATAATTGTTAATGTGAAACTTTGAAACATATTTGGTTATTCCAAGTGTATAGCAATAAAATGTAAACAAAAAATGCTGTAAATTCCCTAGAAATTCAAATTTGGTATAAGACCAGCCTTTAAAAGTTTGTAAATGGCCTTTTGGGACACCTCATGTGGTAATAAATTGCAGTTTTATGGATATCAATATTATAAGCTCAAAACTGAATTAAATGGCAAAATTCATTGAAATCAAAATTGATAAGATAGTTTAAAAAACTTTTTCTTGTCATCATAATAGACACTAAGTAGAGAAAAATATTCATACAGTATATTTCTTAAGAAATATAGTTTCCTTTCAATGCAGTTTTTTATTTAAGTTTTTAATGAAAATGATATTTAAAAGCATGACTTAAACAAGTCTACTTATATATATGGTTTGTAGCACCATACATATTTTTCAGCTATACAAAATTCCACTTCTATGCCCAAAGTTTAATTTTAGTTCTGATTATTTCAGTACAAAGCTAATTATTTACACTTTTTAATTACCAAATCTCATTTTTTTAGCTGCATGTTATTGCATATTTATTTATAATTACTGTATATTATATATGTAATTTTTTATGTACAGCTGTACTTAAAAATGTGTTTTAATCTGTATTTTAAAATAAAAATACATTACCATATTTTGCTTGCAGTCTTCTATGATTTCAGGCTTTTACACTTTGTTTAAACATTCCAGTATTAAATCATGAAGTTTAGAACGCACTGGGTAATCATCACCAGAGATAACATGTGTTGAATGGTCTTCAACTTGAATTAAGATATCATGATTTTGCTGAAAGAAGGTGAAATTATTTTCATAATGCCGCAGAGGTATATGGTAGCAATTAAATATAGAAAGGTCTACACTTCTTAGTATTCACAATAAGCTATGTGAAGTGAAATTATTTATAAAAGTTTTCTTATATCAAGCGACAAAAACAAATAACTGACATTATTACACAGCTATCTAATCTTCCAGTAGCTGCAGAAGACTCCTGATTTTTCATCACAACTCCATGTTTTTCAATGTAATTTAATTATTATATGAATTTGGATCATCTCTGTCAAATGCAGTTTTAGTGAGTTTTAAAGAAAAAGGGGGGTTCTAATAAAAAATTCATAGATAAATTATTTTTAAAAAAGGGCAACCACATTATTATTTTTATAAGAAACTGAAATTATGCAAACTCAGTCTTTCTCCTTGAGATTTTTAACATAGTTTTTCAGTTTAAATTTTATTCATGCTGAATTGTTTTAATCTGTTTTAAAGATTTGCAGAGCATTTTACGAAAATTTATGTTTGATGCAAAAATATTTGTACTTAATTTTACTGCTAATGTTTAATAGGTGAATATTTGCATGTAATTTTGTTTTAAATTTACATTACTAAGTTTATCTACATGGTTATATGCACATTTATTATTAATTTTATTTTCAACATGTCTTAAATCACTCTGATAAACACTTACTTATACTTTCCTATACTTTTTTTTTTTTTTTTTTTTTTTTTTTTACCATTATAGAATTTTTACAAAATTAAATGCATTTAGCCAAAAAACTTAAAATAAAAACTTGGGAAAATGATATTTTACATCAAAGTCCTGTTATAATTAATTTCATAACTTGAATTATGCTTTGAAGTGATTTTAAATCAAATTTATGAATGAAGTTCCTTTGAAATACTCTGTGCAAGTATGAAAACCTCCCACTTTTTCATATTTCAGACTTAGCAGTTATGTTATTATACATTAAAGCCCAACTATACTACGAGACAAAGTTGTTATACAAATCTCCCTTGCTGTTCATCTACAGAGGATGATTTTAAGTTGCTCTGAGGTACTAAACCAATCAGAGAGGTCAAAGTAGATGATATGATTTGTATCCAACGTCACAACAAACATAAAAATTTGCAAAGTTTTCAATGCCTTCATTTTTGAAGGCTAAATTAAAAAAAAAAATAAGTTCTAATAATAAAAATAATAACCATAGTAATAATAAACAGGGAGCTTAATAACAGTGATTAAAATATCCAATAAAAATGCGAAATATGAAAAAAAAATTAAAGCAAAGCAATTAAATAACACATAAAAGAAATCATTTACTTCATATATAGCATGAAATATGGCATTGCTGATAATTCGATTTATAACAAAACAAGAGAAAAACAAATTTTATCACTTTATGAACAATGTAAAATTTATATAATAAATATAAAATTAAGTAAAATTAATTAATTGATATAAAAATTATGATATGTTACATGGAAAATTTTTTAATAATTTTTATTCATTTATCATTCAAAATACACTCAACTGTTTCATTGAACAAATGCTAAATAAAGTTAAAATTTTTATCAAATATTAAAATTCAAATCTGGCAAGCATTCCTTCCAGCTATTAATGTTATATGCTAAGTCAGACTTGAAAATTTTTCTTAACCCAGACACAGATACTCTAAATTAAATTTTTTAAGAATTAATTTTAGTAACTTGATACATTATATACATTAATTTAATCATTTAAAATGAGGTAAAGTAACTGTTTGTTTATTTTCTATTATGTTTTCTACCATAAATGTATTTATTATTTTTACATAATTTTTCTAAGATTACACTCATGTCAATAAATTAAAGATAATTCAGAATTACATAGAAATCGAACTCTAAAGTAAAAATTTCACCTCTTGAATTATTGCACACATCTTCAAGAATAACATGCAAATTGCATGAAGCCATCAGATGATGCCAATAGTACATCACAATGATGAGAGTGTAAGAGAAGTGTATGTAAGGAATGGTAGCAAAGATGCAAATTGTTTATAAGCGTTCTGCAAGCTGCTCAGTGCCACAGCTGAATAGTTACGACACTGAGGACACACGTATATGATTTTTTACGTGGTAAAATTATCGGCTACTTGGAGTATGGGCATACTCAGATGGAAGTATTCGAGGAACTTGAAATAGTCCAAAATGCCATCTATAGGCTTTAGCAACAAGTCCAAAATGATGGAAATGTCGGTAGACATTTCAGTACAGGTCACCCCCAAGTTACAATGCCGAATAATGATGAGCATTCGGCAGTAACTGCCAAAAGAAGCAGACGGAGCACAGCATCAAACCTGTCTCATCAGCTGTCTTCAGCCATGGGTTTCATAGTTTCAAGACAAATCATGTGCAGAATTTGGAACAGATTAATCTATATGCTTGCAGGCCTGTCAGATGTGTTCCGCGCACGGCAACTCGCTGTCATCAGCGGCTAGCCTGGAATAGAGAACATGCAGTGTGAACATTGGGACAATGGGCCTTGTCTGATGTTTTCCGATGAGTCCAGGTTTAGCTTGCGGTCTAATTCACGCCAGACTTTCATATGGAGAACTCCAAGTACATGCTACCATCAAAAGAACACCATTATGATGGTGCAGGATTGCTCGTTTGGGGTGGAATTATACTAGACTCCAGAACAGATCTGCTTGTTCAGATTGGAATAAACCAGATTTATTGAGACATCTTTCTGAAACAACATGTATGTTTGTTCAGGGTGCCAGGGGTGCAGAATTTGTGTTTATGAATGACAACGCCCATCCTCACCATGCAAACATTGTGAAGGAATGCCTTCACTCTGAGGATATCACACATATGAAATAGCCAGCATTCTCACCTGAATTGAATCTGATAGAGCATGTGTATCACATGGTTGGCCAACGAATTGTAGTTCGTCATGCGCCTATATGTGTAGCGGGACTTCGGAGAGCACTGCTTGCTGAGTGGAATAATCTTTCCCAAGATCAGCTCGATAATTTGATATCCAGCATCCTAGGCATTGTACAGATTGTATTTCATCGTCTGGGATACATACAATATATTAACCATCATACCAACCATGTAACGTTAAGTTTTTGTAAGGGAGATATTTTTTGTAATTGCTCTCGGGAGCAAAAATCGTAGTTTTTATGAATGGTATCATACATACACCACCTTTTTTGTTTAATAAATGGGCTTTATGAATGAGTCATTTGTTTTGTTTCTGAACCCTCACTTGCCGGAGTTGGCATTATCCTTGATTTATGGATATGATTGTTTATCAGTATTTTTTATAGATATTTTAAATGTGCTTACTTTGACTCTCATGCTTGATTTCTAATCATACAGAATTTTTTTTTAACCTTATGATATTTTTATTCGTATCTGAAACTGATTAACAATCTGTTAATTTTTTAACACTGTGTATTGCAACTGCAATAAGAATCATAACTGTAATGACTGTAACTGTGACAGCCATATGTACATTAATGCAAAATGACAAGATGCAATATTTTTTAATTTAGGAATAAAAGAAGTGTTATACAGAAAATAAAAATAATTTTGATACAAATATACTGCCATACCAGATCAATAATGAATCCTGATGGTCTTTCTTCAACTTTTGCACCAGTTATTCCTGCCTACAACAATAATAATTAATTAACTTCTTTGTGAAAATTCTTTATTCTATTTTCAAAAATAAGTATGGAATTTATACATATATAACTTCTTAACTGAAACCTTAAATATTTCAAGTATACACAAAGGTTTAATACATGGGAGATTTACTAACTGATAAATTTTAACATTGCTGATGATTTAAAATATTTCATTAATATATGAATGGCAAATACATTAAAAATAACTAAAATAAATTTCAAAATTAATGAAAAATATGGGTGAAAATAAACAAAGCTGATGTATCATTTATTTCCATACAGTAAATAATTTATTAAATAAATTTTTGATTGAAAAAATTGCCTTAATATCCAGATACCCATAGGATATCTATCACAGTTTTCAAATTTAGGCATAAATATGGAATAAATTTTTTTATATAATTGCCTTTTTTAAATATAACATACTGTCTTTTTAAAAGTATCTGAAAATGCTGGCAATATGAATTAAAGGACAGAACAACTTGAATGATAATATTTTTTTACTAGCAATAAACCCATTCTTTGCACAGGGAGAAAACAGATATCATTTCAAAGAAAGTTTCAAAAAAGTTTTTAGAATTACCAAGAAAAAAATTTCAACATTCAGAAACTGAAAATTAAGTATGTGATAGTATGCACGTCAAACATATCCTTTTTGTTTGTTTGAAATGCTTTTCCAGCTTGTTTGTTGTCGAATAAAAAGTTAAATATGAAAGTACTGATAAATATTCCTGATTTTGTCATTAATGTTAGCAGAAAATAAAATATAAATTTTAATGTTATTCTTAAACATAATTAGGGCTCCTTTGGCAATTTGTTCCTACCCTATTTCCATTGTAACTCTGTGAGATACTTGCACTAAACATTTCTAATAGCAAACAGTCTACTATAGATTCATATTCAAAAAAATTAATGGAATAAAACTTCCTACAAAATGCTATTTATTGGCAACAAACTTGGAAAAAATAATTCTTGTTTATATTTATACAGATGTCACATAATAATTATTAAAGGTTACTATCAAACTTTTCAAATGCTAATGTTTCCAGATTCAGTTGCATGCGAGTGATACTAACAACATCTATTAAATAAGGGTGAAATCATATTTATATGCCTCATAGATAAATTTGCTATTTTAAACTCTAACCATCTGTGAGAAATAATATTTCATGCAATGCTGATTTAAATACTAAAAGTTAAATGCATTTTAACATTACGTGATATTACTGATGAATGAGATTATTTAGTGTTCTCAAAATGTATTAAATACTAGTGAAGGTAAAAATCTAAATTTAAATCCTTACTGATCTTTCTGTGGGGGTGGAAGGAGGAATTATAAAATACCCCCTTACCAAAAAAACACTAAGTATCATGAATGCATGCTATAAAAGATCCACATTTTGCGGTACAATGGAAGTTATCAATGATTACCTAAAATATTGTCAGAAACTTTGATAAAAGTAGCAATTCATGAGCATATTTATGAGACATGCATTTAATGGATTATAAATAATACAGTACACCATGTCTATTAAGTTTGACATTAATGTTTAAATTGCACTCAAAAACATAATTTATTCTTTAGCATTTCTAAATAACATGAAAAAAATTACTTTGTTCAATTTTTGAATAAAAAGTGGAATATCCAAGGAATCACAGGCATAAGATGCTGGATAACAGTATTCTGTAACGATTTGTTTTTCTTTGGTAGAAGTAACTTCATTATCTTCTTGTAAGCTCTAAATAAAATAGATAGTGAATATAATTCAAGATCTCTAAGTCTTTAAAAACAAAATTAAAATAACTCTTTAAAATAGTATTGAATTAACATAAAAGTATGTAGGAAATAAAACTATACTCCAAGTATTGTATTAAAATATTATAATTAATCCTCTTTACACATGTATTTGTTATTCTAGTCAGATGGTTAGTATTGCTGGCCCAGATTCAAACCTCAATATTTGATATTTGATTACAAATGTTTGTAAATATTTGATATTACAAATATTTGTAAATTATGTTTGTCTTTGAAACATAGGGACACTTAAAACACAGAGCAAGCCGAAATTTCTCTCAAGTGGTTTGGTGGTAGAAAAAAAGGGATATGAGACCCTTGGACCCATCCCTCAGTTTCTTTCAAAATTGGGACAAAGGTGCAAAATCATGCTGTCACATGTAAGGTGCCCGAGGTGCACTCCTCACCATGTAGACTTGATCTAATGTTACTATCAGGCAAGTGAGATAAATCACTACAACATGTGTATTTTTCTTCATTACTAATTGTATTTTTTAATGTACTTTAAAAAAAAAAACTGCATAAATCTTCTGAATAGAGACACTTATTAATAAAAAGGTTCGTAAAAATCTACAATGCTCTTTTTTTTTTAATGAAACCAAAACACACTGCTTCTTCTTCTGTTTGTCAGGTATCAGGTACCTCTGGCTTTTTTAAATAGCATTTTGTGCCAAACACACCAAACCAAATACTTTCTAGCTTCATTTGTTTGGTTTTTCCACTTTGTTTATAAATTCTAACAAACCCTTAATAGAGCTCAGGTGGAACTCGTTAGTATTGAGAATACCTAAAGAAGTCAGTGTTATCAGAAGTTCAAGGTCAGTAACCTGTTCCCGAGATAAATGTTTTTCAGGATGTCTCACCATGAGTACAGCCGTATGAGCTGATGGAGACCACTGTATGAGCCTCCCTGAAGGTATAACCTTCATGTGTGCCTCTTTTGGAAGTCTTCGGGCTGTATTCTGCTCCATCGCCATTTTTTCCCTTGGGTTGAAGGGAAAGGTGAAAATTGGCAATTTTAAATTCTGGGACACGGTGTTTTTTAAAATGTTTACCAAAGCACTAAATGAATACTAAATGAATTTAAAGTAATATAAAACTGTAAAAAGAAGACGTGCGATTGGAATGAAATCAAGATGAATTCTAAACTTTCTCTTTTCCATGGCCAACATTCGTCAATAAAGAAAAAACAAAATAAAGCATTCACTTGGCTCATCCCTACTTGGAATATATTAACCCCGTTGCTATAGCAACTGCCACCAACTATACACAATGGCGAGAGAGATTCTCCTCGTAGTCAGACAATATGTGTACAAATTAATTCATGACTTCCCTTTTTCATAAATTTTTGTATTTAAAAAAATATATACATTCTAATCTCAGAAATAATCATTAATACTTTCCATACATTTTTCTGTTTCTTAGGAAGCTAGTGAACACCTTTAATACTTAAACAAAGTGCACAGGAGAAGTCAGAGGAATTTTGAATTAATAAATAATGCTTCTACTTCTCTGGGTTCAAATGATGTTGATGAGCAAAACAAGTGGTTTTCATCAAGTGGAAGACGAATGTTGAAATTTTAAGTTAAAACTGTTAATGTCTTTGATGTAGTTTCCATTGATGGTGTCAATAACTTTACAGTGGTTTTTAATAATCCAGTAGAAATTGTGATCCTAACGATGGAAGAAGTAATAAAACAAAATGTTTTTGAGTTTTTTTCAAAATAAAAATCAATTGCATTTTATAATTATTGGTCCCAATGGATATGAAGCAAAATTTTATGGGAGTATTGTGAAATCAGGGAAGTACATAAAGAACTGAAAATTTATTAAAGTGAGTTTGTGTAGAAATTTTTAGTTTTTCATAAAACACAGTAAATTTTTCATTGGTACGTAACCTTTAATGAGTGACAGGATTAGGAAGTTGCTGAACTATAAGATGGTGGTTGCACGCTTTTTCAACAATGGAAATAATGAAAATATCTTTTTGATGCTTGTATGGTATTCAGTAAAGCATATTTGATATGATAATCTGATGGAGAGCAAATTTTCTATTAATTTCTTTTCAGTAGTTTAAACAAAGAAATGTTTCCATTCATGGAAAGTTTCTGCAGGTACTGTATTAATAATTAGTTTTAAAAATAAAATGGTCCAGGTCATCAATAATACTTTTAAAACAGGTACTTTTGGAGATATTAAAGATGGGTCGAAATTTAGAGCCTTTAAACTTTGGATAAAAGAATTTTTAAGACCAGAATCATCAATAATGTTGAGATTATCAGTAATGATGTGATGATGGTGTGAATTAATAAATTCTTCAAATTTGTCTTCTAGGGAATGTAAAGCAAGTGTCACTAAATCTTCTTTTAGACAGTATTTATATTTTCAAGATTTTTCTAAATTCCCTTTTCCTATATAATGTATATATATACACACAAAATGAAGCAATGATGTGCTTTTCTAGTAGAAAATTTCATTTGCAAAATCTTCTTTTAGACGGTATTTATATTTTTAAGATTTTTCTAAATTCCTTTTTCCTATATAATGTATATATACACACAAAATGAAACAATGATGTGCTTTTCTAGTAGAAAATTTCATTTGCAAAAGACATGTTTAATATTACCTAACAATTTAACACTTTTGTTATGCAAAGTTCAGAATAAACTAAATTATAAATAAAACAACAAAAAAATATGATGATTCATTTAGCTTCAATATTAATAAAATAATAAGGTGCAGATTACTGTGAAAAGAAGAGGCAGTTATTGAGAAGGTTCAATTATTAATTCAGGATTGCCACTCAAACAGAAGAATGAAATTCCCTGACTTTTCCAGGTGTTAAGGAAATTCCAGTCTATCCACATAGTGCACATTGGCTGTGCTGAGAAGTAAATTAATTATGGTATCATTTGAAAACACAAAAATTTCGCTACTACATATGACTTTATATATCTAATCCCTAAAGCACTCTCATTATAACTATAAAAGGAATTGTTTTCTCCACTGAAGATTGAAATTAGAATCTGCCCAATCTGGATTAAACAATGTCTTTTTGTGCAGATATTTTGCAGCTAAATGAAAGACAGAAATCTATTTAATGATACTTTAAAATAAATTCAAATATTTTGTATTTACTTAGCGGCATACATAAGCAAAAAATATATGCATAAAATTTCATGATGATATGTCATCATGCTGCTAGAATTAGTTTCAGGAGTATGCCAGAGAAAATTGCCTGAAATTTGAAAGTTATTATTAACTTTAAATAAGGAAGAAGATACATTATATGAGAATGGGAAGGTATTTTCTTTTGTTCAACATGCACTGCACATGTGCATGCAAGTCTCTCGATTCTCAAGGTTACTGGAAACCAAAGTTGCTGGAATCTGATAGGAGCTACGAAAACTGGCTCTATGCCAGCTGCCCAAATGACGCTCATGCGATACATAATTCGCCAAGAAAGTGATCACTTCTCATATTGGCACAAAAACCACTTTTTTGGGGGGTGGGTGGTGTGTGGTGTATTTAATTATGGCAAAGCTCACTAGAGCTATCTGCCTAAGGGGAGGGATGCCTTCGTGGAGGACTTTCTAAGGAAAACTGGCTCGTATACACGTTACACATGGGGAAAACCACAAAAACACCCATGCAGCCATCCCGTTCGCGGGATTCGAACCTCGGACCGAACTACCAGTGTTCAGCGACTTTACCGCTCGGCCGCTGGTGGGCCTTTTTGGGGAGTGGGATTGTCATATGAAATTCCCTGACATTTCCAGTTTGACTAAAATATTTAAATTCCCTGACTTATATGGTCAATTTTCGAATTTCCAGACTTTCCAGTTTCCCAGGTAGCGTAGCAAACCTGTTAATTGTTTACAGCAAAGCATACAAAGGCTGTCTATTATGAGCAGGAATGCTTTTTGTGAAGGACTGGCTTATCTTCAATGTTTTTTATGAGAAATACCATGAAAATATATACAACCAATCCATTAATTCACAGAAAATATCAGAACCATTTACATCTATTGGCCATTAGATGGTTATAAAAAAAGATAATACACAACTACTCATTAACATTCGATTAACAACAGTAATTACCTAAATTTATTTACCTTCAAATCAAATTTGTTATCTTTTATATTTACTTGACCAGTGAAAGTTGAAATGAAGACTCCTGGGCGGCATTCTATAGGTAAAAGATTGCCAGCCAACTGAAAAAAGAATTGTTTTGCAAAATTTGATGTCTGTTATGAGCTTATTTTAAAATTATAAAAACAATTACAAAAATTAAATTAATGAGAATCTGATCCAATACAAATAATAATAGCTTAACAATGAAAATTTTTCACTTTATGGCGTACGGTTGAAAAAAATCTGATGTGTACACCACATGACTTCCTTGTACGAAATATTAAATTATATTCATTTCATTTAAATTTATTGGATTGAATTAAATCTACTTCGTCGATAGTGCATAAACCACAATAGAATAAAGGCACCCTTTAAAATTCACTATATTTGTTTACCATAGCGACACTCTGGCACTATGTTCACTTAATAGTGTTATATTTTGTTCATATTATAACTCAAAATGCACAAAATTTATATCATTTGAAGAATTATCTAATCATTGCCACATGTTCTATTCAAATACTATAATAAATCTAGAATGATGTATAAAAGAAATTAAGCAAACAAAACAAAAAAGAAACAGTTTTTCACAGACGATTCAGTATTTTTCATTCAATTAATTCAGTTCTCACTTTGCAACAAGGCAAAAATGCATAAAAACTCAAAATATCTATATTAAAAATTACGAAAGTAAATCTTAAACACTTATTTCCTCGAAAAAAAATTCCAGAAGGATTAAGCACGATTTAATTGCATAATAAATGAAGGCATTATCTTTGTGTGGGGAAGCCTAGTCTCTCTAGATTGGCAACAAATCTACTATTCTGCTGTTTCAATGTAAACAAACATGTCCCACCAGTTATTTAAAAATTAGGCTTAACCACACTTAAACAGCTTTTAAATTGTTGATAATTCTACAAATATTGCTTGCAGATTTCCTAAAGGCATAAAAACCTTAACCGGGAGATAAGAACAACATAATTCAATCATTTTTAAAGCAAAAAACACAAATTACAACCATAAGAGTAAAGAACTAAGATTCCTGAGCCGGGGTAACAGTATATATATATTATATATAAATTTAACAAATAAATTTTAATTTTAACAAACTTATAAAAGTAAAAAAGACAATTTAAAGCCCAAAATTAAAAAAAGCAAATTAAAGCCAAAAAATTTTAAAAAATATATATACATATGTAAGATAAAATTATATGAATCAGAATTATAATATAACTAAAAAACATTAATTTTTCCTCTCTATTCTAAAATGTAATAACTTCTCTGCATTGCGTCTTTCTAGATAACTCTATGCCCGCGCAACTCTGATGACGTAATAATTAAGAACTGAAAACTGTGTTTTTTAAGCCAAACTTTTCTCTTCGCGTGCTTCCATCTTTCATAACGACACACTTCAGCTTTTTTATCTACTGTCTAAGATGTAATTTCGTGGCTTGCTTTCTATCTCAACAATATCAAAATGAAATCTTCTTTGGAACGCCGACTAGAGTGCCAAGTGATTGTGGCCCAATATCATTTGCAAAAAAAAATGGAATTAAAACTGCCTCAACTGCCAAGTTCTTTAGATTTACCAAGTTAGCATTACTAGCATGCTACGCAACAAATTCTTCTTCAATAGGGTCTAATCACGCATCTACAGTGTTCTGTCTTTTCCTTGTGCTTTTTTATGACAATTAAAGCCGGCAGGATAGTTTCAAGCAGCCGAAACCTCAATGGAAAATTTAGTTCAGCTCTTCAAATCATCGTTTTGGTGAAAATCCAAGCTAATGTGAAGAAGGTGAATCATCAAATTTGTTTTTCAGTGTTTAAAAAAATAACAGATCATTCTTCTGCTGCGGGGTTTTGCAAGTGCTTCAAAAAAAATAATCACGCATAGTGTTTACAGATTGAAAGTAATCTCTCAATAATTGAGAAGTTCGAATGCTAGTGAAAAGGAAATCATCGTGAATTACCCGTTTAGGAATTAAGCATACAGCGGGTTCAAGGTCGATCTGAGTTAGGTTTGTAAGTATGTGCGACAGAAAATATTGCACTTCCCTTTTTAACAGCTAAAAAATTATTACATTCGTGTGAATCTAGCTCTCAGAAACTAAATATTTAAGCGTTGCGGATTCTATAGTTTTCTTTCAAACTTTGGTTAAAATTTCTGCAATTTGTCTTGAGAAAATCTGAATTCTTATTCATAATTTTTCTAATTTTCATAATTATGTGTAAGCAAATTAAGTAACGAATTTAAGATATTTAAATTATTCATAGGGAAGGATATTAGATACGTTTTTATGTTTTTGAAATTTGTTGAGAATTTTGAATATGAATTTATAATTATCTAAAAATGAAGTGGTGTAAAAAATAGTGAAATTATTACAGATACGTAATATTAAATTATGGTAAATGCATGTTAAATTTATGGGTTGATTGTATGTTTAAGTATAGTGTATGTCGAAGGAAATATTGGTTCCTAAGCGAGGCCTGTAATTACCTCTGTACGTTGTTCCCTTCACCCTCTTCAAGTAAGACAATGTGGAGGCTCTCATTTTATGAGTGTTTGTACTTTTATATTATTATTATATTTTTTTATTATGGAATGTATTAGTGCAGTTCTCAAGCCGTTCCTTAATGCAAAGAACAGAGGCCTTTTCAGTAAACTGCAGGCACCCTGGGCCACCAGTGACTAGAACACACTGGTTAGCTCAAGAGGACAGCCCTATTGATGGATATGGTTTGTTTAGAGATATTGCGAGGCCTTCCACTTGGTAAAAGACAGGAATTGTAAATGAAAGATAATAACGATGAAACCATATTTTCTGTAGCTTACTCCTATTATTATATGGTATTAAAATATAATTTATCAGTATGGAAATAAGTATCATAAATATCTACGTGCATTACATTTAATTATAAGTAATGATTATGTAAAAGTTTATTTTGCTATTCTGTAATAACAAGAACCTTCCCTGAAAGAATTATGATTATATGAACTCTGAAACAAAAAGCTTTATACTGAAATGCTGAAAAAATTCAACAGGACTCTAAAATTAAAAAAAATTTAAAAAATTTGATATTTATAAATTATACTTTACAGGACAAAAAATTTATGATTTATGTTTTTTACATTTCCTAGTGCTTTAACTCTTTCTCTTTAAAAAGGCTTCTCTGTCACTACGTCTTTTTCTTTTTGAAGGGGAAAATATGCAAGATAAAATTATATGAATCAGAATTATAATACAGTCAAAAGTCGTTAATCTGGAATCGTCGGGACTTCGGCGATTCCGGATTATCGATTTTTCTGGATTATAGATCATCAATTTAAATCTCGTAAGATGGCATGCAGAAATTCTAAAATTAAAAATATGAAACCGTAATTTATGAAATAAAGAACAATTATGATCTAAAGGGTATCAAAATTTACAAAAAAAAAAAAGCTTAATATTTATTTGTTTACTTTATTAAACATTTCTTTCAATGTAAGTTGTTTAAAGTTGCTTCATTTTATGTGATACAATACTTTCTCTTTAATTCTATAAACAGACATAATTTTCTTGTTCAGTTACAAGTTCTGCTGTTCAAGTCCCGTTAATTGCTGTGCCGAGAATACCGACTAACTGTCAATCGAAATTTTTTCGTTTTCACTAACCTCTCTGTCACATTCTTCATGTCTTTATCCATTTTTTTCAGCAATTCCACTTTTATTTTGTTGGACATTGAAACATACTTTCGTTTTTTTGTAGATCCTTTGGAAGTTCCAGCATCGGAAATTCTATTTGACATAATCGAAAGTTCAAGTTTACTTTTATAAAATTGCTCTTACAGTCTGCAAAAAATAATAAGCGGGATCCTAATTCGAAGAAGATTAAGGAACAACGCAATCATTAACATTAACTGAAATAGATAATTAGATAATTTTAGCCTACACCATCCGTTATACATTAAACGCGCAGGCGAAAACGTATTCTGCGCTTGCTCACACGCATATGCGCAGTAGTCAAGGTCTTACGCGCTCGCGTAAAACGCCTGTGCGCATGTGCCAACGCGGCACATGCGCAGAAAGTTTTTAGCTTTGAGGTCCGGAATATAGATCATTCGGATTATGGGCGTCCGAATACGACTTTGACTGTATAACTAAACATTAATTCTTTTCTATTCTAAAATCGTAATAACTCTCTGCATTGCGTCATTTCTAGATCAATCTATGGCCCACGCACTCTGATGACATAATAATAAGAACTGAAATGCGTGGTAAACCAAAACTTTTCTCTTCGATGCTTCCATCTTTCAAACTACGCATTTCAGCTTTTGTCTCTACTGTGCTAAGATAATTTGCTGGGTTGCTTTCTATCTCAACAATATCAAAATGAAAATCTCTGTGGAAAGGCACGACTAGAGTGCCAAGTGATTGTGGCCACAAATATTATTTGCAAATAAAAATGGAATTAAACTGCTCAAACTGCCAGTCTTTATATATACCAAGTTAGCATTACTAGCATGCTACGCAATCAAATTCTTCTTCAATATGGTCTAATCACGCATCTACAGTGTTCTGTCTTTTCCTTG